TGCGGGTTGATGATATTTTAATGGGAAATAATTATTTAAATTTTTTTAAAAAATATTATTTACACTTTATTTAAGAACATAAATGATTCTAACAGTTAGATTGAAAGTCGCACTACGTTCAATCTTATTACTCACAACAAATCTAGTGATCATAATCAATTAGCTCTCCAAAATGTGTGCATTGCTCTTCAACTTTTTGCATGATACTTGCTTTTAAAAAAATATCACTAATATTATTAAAATATAATTTGAAAACATAATGTATTGTGATTATTAGATTAATTAACAATGAATAGCATTAAATATATGAACTCATTAACAATTTAATAATTATTATTATATCCTAATAACGTTGTTCAAAAAGACTTTTGGCATGGCAGTTATTTGTTATATTTCCTTTGATAGTATCTAATAACGTTTAACTCACATTGGATAGAGAATTTTTAGTTCTCAGTACCCTGTAATCCTCTTTGTTTTAAGTTCTAAGCCTACTTTAACCTTAGACTTGTCCTAAACGCCTTGATTTTCCCCAGGTGAAATGAATTAAACGAGTTGCACATATACCTTAGTACATGTTGGTCAACGTTGAAGTCATTCCCAAGAGCGGGGGATTTCGTGACATTTTAAATTGGCCGTCTTATATTTCTAATAAATTTTTGATCCCCTCTTCCCCGGCATATATTTGCACAAAAGTAGAATGATTCACTTTTGGACATGGTAATATCATGATATTTCTCTCCCTTGACCTCGAGATATGTCATGTCTTTTTTTTTTTTATAATTAATCGTGAAGGGTGTTGAGTCGATTTATGTAAATTTCGACTAATTTTCTTAATAGTGCGATTAAAAATAAATTATCTATATCAAGATTAGAGTATTCATAATAGAAAAATTACTCATGACTGAGCTCCAACAAATTACTAAAATTCAAATTCAGGACGTTTGAATATACGACACATGTCTTTATTATCATTTAAATTACTCATTAAATTTTTTTAGGCAACATTTAATAAGTATTACAAGTGTTAATTCTCAAACGGTTTGAGCCATAAAAAAATTCAAGATAAACAATCTACCTCTCTTATTGTATAGATTATTATTATTACAAAATCTGAATAAAATAGAAGTCCAAAAAAAAAAAAAAAGGGAATACAACAAAACCCTTAAATGGAATAGCAAGAAAAGGCACAATACAATTCTCAAAGAGAAAGATACAAAATAGATCAATTCTATTTTTAGCATAGATTGATCCCTTAATCTACTGGCTGAGAGAGTATCAAAAGTGTCTGACTAAGATAGGCTCAACAGAAAGATAAATAACAGATCAAGGAGTGGATTTCGGTACCCAAAAAAAAAAAAATGGGTATCATACATTCATTTATCACATTCACGTCATTTTATCATTGTTATAATATCCTAAAAATATTGAAAATAGTTACTACAAACGTGATAAAAATACCCACAAATGTGATAAAAATGTGCACAAATATAGTAAACACACCCACAAATGGGTTAAATATTTTTGTACCAAAGAAATGTGGTAAAAAAGTGATTAATCACTCATAAAAATAATAAATTTTTTAGCTATAAAATAATCCATAAAAATTATAAAAATAACTATAAAAATATAAAAGTTGAAAGTATTAATTTCGGTACCATAGTTAGATCCATAGATCAAATCTATTTTAAAGCAAGGTATAAAACTTGCCTCGGTTTGGGAAGATATAAATCAGTCCTCGTAACCAAAACCCCATTTGTCATGCTCCCCCACTAGAGTGATGGTGGACACATCGGTCACGGGGATATATTTACACGGGATTATATGCTCACGGGTAAAGCTTACGGTACAATGTTTCAAAGGGAAAGTTATAATTTTAAAAGGTATAATTGATTATAGAAGATTGAGATCGACATTAAGAGTTCATGATTAATCATAGGTGTCTGTAATCGATCATAATCTTCATTTGAACAGATGTAACTTTTTTTTTTCAAAATTATAATTTTACCATAAAAAAAAATAACCAACGGTACAATGCCAATTTTTTTTTGATACAGTAGACTTTCCCACGTTCAAGGCTAATTTTTTTAAAATTATTATTTTTTGAGATCAAGTAATTATACCTTTTTAAATGTGAAATTGTAAGTGCTTGAGGTATTTCTTGATTGATAATAAAATGTGATCGATCACAAATATATCTTAATCATTTGCAATTTCATTTTTAAAATGTGTAATTTAACTTTTAAAAATTATAATTTTTATAATTGATCGTAATTTTTTCAAATCGATCAAACTTTTTATAATTATAATTGATACCCCAAAAGTTATAACTTTCTCTTGAAAAGTTAGAAATTTCGGCATCTTACCATGGTCCACACCTCTATTTTGAGAGGCAAAAGAGTAATTGACTAGTTTTTTTTTTTCAACCCAATTCATCACACACAAACCCTAATACATTGAAAATGTACTTCATAATTAACCTACAAAATCAATAAATAAATAATTTAATTATCTGGTAATTTACGAAACACTAAATAAAAAATGATATCAAAAATTAAAAAAATATATTTTATTTTAATAATACTTGTTAAACGGATTTACAATATCGAGATAACAATCTTTTTTGAATTGGTCATCAACTCTCCCCATAATTGGATATCATGTTGAAGATTATGATGCCAAGTAGTTCTTGTCATAATTGCATGAGAAGAAACAGAGCCGAGCAAATCCTCTGGCTTTTAGAAAACCAGACATGCCCTCCTTGAGCTCATGGGTAAAATTGAACGGCGTATTACACATAAGTGAAATTTGTCGGGAGGAGTTTTCATGATTGGAGTGTCCAGTTAGAGTTCTTAAGCTTTTGAAGGTTGAGTTATTGATCCATCAAATAAATAATTAATAGAAAGAGAGTTTAGAGTGGTTTACGAGCTCAGAATTTTGATTAGTGCATTATAATATAGTTTTTTATTTCTGTGAAATTTTCAATTGATTGGGAAAAAAAATTACACAGTCGATTTGTAGATGATTGCTTCATTATTAATGTGAGGGATTTAAACCTATTTATAGTATATAGTTGTTTTGTGTGATCTCTGCGATCCTTCCGTAACAAATGTCATCCTAACGTAATCAATGTAATTAGCGGTTGCGATCCATGTGTCAAAATATTCGGCAATTACAAGTTATCATGTATGTTTGTTATCAAAAACATTGACAAACATACATGATTAATGTTTTTGAAATTTTTTTTAATACATAAAAAAAGGAATTGAACTAGACTCGAATTTTAATGCATAAAAAATAAAATTTAATCAACTCGAATCAAATTTTAATTGACTCAAATTTTTATATGTAGAAAAATAAATTTTAGTGGGCTTGAATTTTAATATATAAAAAAGTAAAATTTAGTCAACTAGAATTTTAATCAAATTTTATGTAGAAATTTTTTTGAGGTTTATATATAGGAAATTTTGGTATTTTAGATAAATTTTTGTTGTTAGAAAGTATGGTTTAACGGTAGGGATGTTTAAATATAAGAAAAATTACCAGTAAGTATTACTTTTTTATTTTTTTACAAAAATTCATTAAGTCATATCATTTTTTATCTCAATAAAATCCTATTTTTAATATTTTATTTCAATTAAGTCTTAATTTAATTATATTCCAATTTTATCCTTATTCTTTAGTTATCAAAAAACTTTTATTTTTATTCTTTAGTTATCAAAAAACTTTTATTTTTTCACATTCTTTTGTTAACTGGGTGGCACACTCTTAGGGCATTTCAATTGCTACATAACTTTGCCTTCTTTTTGGTATGTTAACTTCGGCGACACACCCTTTAGCCTTTTTAATTGCTATATATTATATTTTACTTCGATTAATGTAATATTATTATATTATTGATTCTACTGATACAGTGTCTCGTTAGATTTAAATTATTCTATTAATATATATTGAATTTAAAATGATTGAGTTAAGAATTTATTTTAATTGTTATATTCTAATCGATAACACCATTAAAGTGAAATTAATCGACAAACATTATAGATGTAGTTTTTTTTAACATTTCTTATTTTATTAAAAACTTTGCAAATATTATCTCAAGTCTTAAAATTGGGTACCTCAATGTGATAAGCAAATAAAGAAAATATGAACTTTATTTGGCTTTTGTCATGAAGTTTATGCTAGTTGAATTTTTTTTTAATAATTTTTTTATGGGGTTTCAATGTTTTTTATAAGCAAGAAAATTTTGCCCTCTTAATTGGTTCTAAGAATGTAAAAAAAAAAAAAGAAAGAGTTTTGGTAATAAAAGGGTGAGGATAAAATTAAAATATATATTAAAATTTAAGACTTAATTGACATAAAATATTAAGAATAGGACTTTATTAATATAAAAAGAAAAATAATAGGACTTAATGGATTTTTTTGAGGAAAAGGAATATTTATTAATAATTTTTCTTTAAATATAAATTAGAAAGAGTGTTAATAATGTAAGAAATTTCTTTGAAGATATATCTATTTAGGGAGGATATAAATGATAATTATCCAAAAAAAAAAAAAGAAAAATAGGATCGTAAACTAGCCACAGTAAAAAAAGAGCCGTTGTGCTCTCAAGAAATAAATGCTCTAATCCCTGAGAATTTCACGGGAAAATGGAGATGGTGGGAAGAAAGAGGGAACCCAACCATGTGACACTGACGACAGAGATAGATGTTAGGCTGTCAAGTCGCTGTTCTTTATATTGTTTATTAGTATTTAACGTTAAATCACATCATTTCAGAATTCAGAGCAATTGTACACCTCCCCCAGTATCTTCTCTCTCCTCCCTCCCACTCTCTCTCTCATTGTGTGTTCCTTCTCTTTTTACTCTTTGTGATTTTCTCCACTTTGTCTTGGCATTTAATTTGTAGTTACATTGTACCTTCTTTTTTTAAAAGCTTTTAAGACCCATGTGCTTTCACTTGTTTGTTTCCTAGCACAAGTCAAGTCGTTAGGAGGGAGAGAGAGCGGAATCTGTCTGTGGGTGTTGTAGAAACTAGAAACCAAACCCCCTTTATATCTCCACTACAGGTTTGGTGATTGTTCTTTTTATTTTTTCCTTTTGTAGCTGATCTTTCATTCCAAACAGCATTGAAAAATGACTAAAGATGAAGACTTTAAGCTCCTCAAGATCCAGGTATGTTTTTTGCTCGAAATGCACATTCTGTATACCATTATTTTTTATAAATGTGAAAGTACTGCAAAGGTGTTTAGTGGTTTTTTCCCTCTAAAATGGTCTTCTTGTTGTTTGCCTTTTGTTTCCTTTTATTTTTGCCCTTTACAGACTTGTGTTCTGAGGGTCAACATACATTGTGATGGGTGTAAGCAGAAAGTGAAGAAACTCCTTCAGAGAATTGAAGGTGCGCTCTCTCTCTCTCTCTCTCTCTCACACACACACACACACACACACACACACACACAAAAACAAACATACTCGCATGTGTTTGTGTGTATGTCTGTCTAACTCTGCTATTTTCCCCCAATTGCTGTTCTGGACTCTGGTTGTATAGTTTTGTGTATGTGTAAAATCTGTTGATCTGTTTACTAGTGCTATGTTATCAGCTCTACTTGTCAGTGTGTGCTACTCTTAATTTTATGTGAAATGCACAAAATTCAATAAATTAGCTTATGATTATAGCATGAAAGCCCCTTTATCTATGATTTGGTTGAAGAGAACTAATCTTTATAAGGACGAAAGATTTCTATGCAAATTTTCTTCTAAGAAACTGGTCTTTATGATGATGTGCTGTTGTCAAATCTAGAGAAAAATATGGGGAAGCTCACATTTTACAGTCCAGAAATTACCTTCTTTTGGTTGCCTTATTTTTTGTACTAATCACCTTGTTTTTTTTCACAATCTTTCATTATAGGTGTCTTCCAAGTAAACATAGATGCAGAGCAACAGAAAGTCACTGTTTCAGGCAGTGTAGATTCTGCAACTTTGATCAAGAAACTTGTCAGGGCAGGTAAGCATGCTGAGCTTTGGTCACAGAAGACAAACCAAACCCAAAAACAGAAGGCCAATTGCATCAAAGAGGATAAGAACAACAAGGGCCAAAAACAAGGTCTAATCAAGGGTCTTGAAGCCTTAAAAAACCAGCAGAAATTTCCTTTCATATCTGAGGAAGAGGATGAATATTTAGATGATTATGACTACGATGAAGATGATGAAGAGGAAGAACTTCGATTTCTCCGGGAAAAGGCGGAGCACATGAATCTGATCAGGCAACAAATTGATGCTAACAATGCAAAGAAGGGTGCTGGAGCCATTGCTGGTGCTTCCAACAATGGAAAAATGAATAATAATGTAGGAAATGGAAATGCTGGGAAAAAAGGTAACAACCCAAATCAGAACATGGGGGTGAAGGCAAACCCTAATGTGATTGATCAGAAAACATTGGCCGCACTGAAGATGAACAATGCTGCCCAGTTGAATGGTGGAAACATTAATCTTGGGGAGGGGAAAATGGGAAATGACATCAATAGCCTGATGGGTCTTGCTGGTTTTCATGGAAATGGGGCTAATAATGGCAATCCCAGTGGTATGGGAGGAGGAGGGTTTCAAGTCCAAGCAAACAATGGTTTCCATGGTACTGCTGCTGTATCCACAGGAATTCCCAATGGTGGTCTGGCCACAGGGCATCATCCCTCCATGATGATGAACATGAATGGGCATCCTCAACAGTACAACTACCCTTCATCAATGATGATGAACCTGCCGAACAGGCAGGCCATGGTGCAACAGCAGCCCCAGATGATGTACCATAGGTCTCCTTTCATTCCCCCAAACACTGGCTATTACTATAACTATCCCCAAGTTCCACAACCTTACTATGAGTCTAACCATGGTACTGATCACTCTGCTTCCCATATGTTCAGTGATGAAAACACAAGTAGCTGCTCAATTATGTAATGGTCAAATTTAAGGGACTGTTTGGCCTACAAGACTTTTGCATCTCCAGGTTATGGCATTACTGCTTTTTAACAGTGTCATTTTAGTGAAAGGGGGGAATGGGGGCCTGTATTGTGTAGTTGTTAAGATTATGTTTGTTTCTTTTCACTTGCTCCTCCGGTTATGTGTGTGTGTGTGTGTGTTTTTTTTTTTGGGGGGTCTTCGTTGTATGACCGCTGAATCTGTAGTTTGTGAGTTTCTATGCTATTATATATAATTAAATGGGTGATTATATAAGGTCATTTGTTATTAATATTAACTATACCCATGTTCCACAACCAACCCTACTGTAAAGCTTAATTACGGTGATGATCACTTTGCTGTCCTTATGTTCAGTGATGAATTGAAATCTAAAGTAGCTGCTCAATCATGTGAATGTAGCGCTCACCTCGTGCGATTCACGGAATTTGTAATGTTCTCTATCTACGACATTCGGATGTTTGAAAGATTACAAATTTGGAAGCTAAACAGATTTCTAAGAGGTTTTAAATTTGAAATTGTTGACAAAAGTGGGGTAGAAAATGACTGGATCTGTTAGTTTTGTGAGCTTCAATGGTGTTATCTACAATTGGATTGACTTATTATTCACTTACATTGTACAACAGTGATGGATTGAAGATGTATGACAACAATGAGTGAATTATAAAGATAGTGGGATATTTACAATAATATTACTTCTAGGATTTACAATAATATTACTTCTAGGATTTACAATAATAATGAGTACAATAACGAAGATAATGATATTCTTACAAAATTATTGCGAGGTTAACGATATTAGTGGGTAAAAATACAAAAATATGATATAATTACAAGAAGAGTAAGAAATTTTGAACATCAGTGGAAACAACTAGAAAGGGAATAGAGTATTTACCACATCAATAAGAAATGTACAATAGTAGTTGATGATACACAAATTTGTATCGCACAAAATCAACAATCAAGAATATGTAACGAGTGTGATTAATGAGCAATTAACAAATAATCAATGACAATCAAGAGCTAAAGCGATAAATAGGCAATCAACACAAAGAACTATAGTAGTTAGATCCGGGTGACCTACTCCACTCTCGTAAACGGCAGCGGTGACCTGAGTTTTTTATTAATGAATGAGGTCACTGAAAAGAGTATTTTATAGGAGTATTACAGTGCTTAAAGGAAAAGAGAGAAGGGTGTATAAGGGGAGGTCTAGAGGTTTAAGAGGCGTGCCCTCAAATGTTGAGAGGGCGTACATTATATAGTTAGAGTAAGACGGTGACGTGAGTAAGAGATCTTTCACTATTTTGGTAAGTGCAATCATTGTAAGTTTAGATCTCCATCCCGACATTCTCTCCCTCATACTCCTATTAAATCGCAGGAAGATCTTGAGTTGGACTGGACTTGGTCTTGACCTTGAACTTGGATCAGAGTAGGCTTGGACTTGCATTGGAGTCAAGAGGACGTGGGAAAACAAAAGGGGCAGCCTTGGGCGGCGCCTGGCTTGGGTGACCCCTGGGCAGCGCCAACCTCTTGGACGTTGGACTCTTGGATGCCGGCCTTTTGGACGTTGGCCTCTTGAACGTTGGCTTCTGGGCGTTGGCCTCTTGGACGTTCGCCTCTTGATGCCTTCTTGGATTCCCTCCTGACGGATTAACCCAGTTTCCCTTGGGGTCTGTCTTGGGTCCTGAGTACTTGCGCTTCGTGGTTTATTTTAATTGGACTTAGTCAAATTCGAGCTCATCAGTAGTGAAGATAATTACAAAGGTAAAAATATATTTATAACAAAAGTAGATAAATTTATGAGGACGACAACATACTCAAGGTCAACGTAATGGATGATCGAGTAATGTAATATATGATCGATCATTACATGTTGATCGATTTAAGAAATGTATAATCAATTATTATGTGGTAAGGTGTTATAAAAAAATGGACTTTTGGAAAATAAATAAATAAATATATAATTTGATCGATCACTAATATGAATGATCGATCATATTAGTTTAGTCAGGTGTTCTCACAAAATCATTGCGAGGTTGATGATATTAGTGGGTAAAAGTACAAAAGTAATGGTGTAATTACGACAAAAGTGAGAAATTTTGAACATCAGTGGAACCAACTACAAAGGTAATGAGATATTTAATACATTAGTAAGAAATATACAATAGTAATATAGATAAGTACAAAAGTAAAGGTCTATTTACAACAAAAGTGGATAAATTTACGAGGACAACATACTCGTAGTTAACGTAATAGTAGATCAATCAATGTAATATATGATCGATCATTACATGTTGATCGATCTAAGAAATGTGTGATGGATGGAAGATGAACTACAACAATGAGTAAATTACAAAAATAATAGAATATTTACAATATTATTTCCAAGATTTACAAGAATAATGGATACAACAACAAAGATAATGATATTCTTACAAAATCTTTGCGAGATTAACGATATTAGTGGGTAAAAGTACAAAAGTAATGGTATAATTACAAGAAGAGTAAGCAATTTTTAACATCAGTGGAAACAACTACAAAGATAATGAAGTATTCACTACATTAGTAAGAATTCTACAATAGTAGTAGGGATAATTACAAAAATAAAGTTATATTTAAACAAAAGTAGATAAATTTACGAGGACAATATACTCGTAGTCAATATAATGGATGATCGAGCAATGTAATATATGATTGATCTAAGAAATGTATTATTGATCATTATGTGGTATAGTGTGGTGTAAGAAAATGGAATTTTGAAAAAAAAAATAAATAATTTAACCGATCACGAATATGAATGATTGATCATATTGGTTCAAAAAGGTGTTTTCACAAAATCATTGCGAGGTTAACAATATTAGTGGATAAAAGTACAAAAGTAATGGTATAATTACAAAAAGATTGAGAAATTTTGAACATCAGTGGAATCAACTACAAAGATAATGAGATATTTACTACATCAGTAAGAAATGTACAATCGTAGTGGGGATAAGTACAAAAGTTATTGTATATTTACAACAAAAGTGGATAAATTTATGAGGACAAAATACTCGTAGTCTGGACTGTACATTTTCATCGTTCTACGGAATTTATGATCGATCATTAAATTTTGATTGATCAAAGTAATGTATGATCGATCATTATACGGTAAGGTGCGGGGCAAATAAATAAATAAATATATAATTTGAGCGAACACGAATATGAATGATCTATCATATTGGTTCAATCGAGGAAAAAATAAGTGTTGTGGAGGTCTGATCGATCGTGAAACAATATAATAGATCAATAATTAGGTGATTTATTGAAATGCCCTCGAAAAGTAACGTGTAGTGTTAAAAAAAAAGAAGAAAAGTAATTGAATTCGATCGATCAAAATATATAGTGATTGATCATATTGTTACAGGTTTGTAGTTTGAATCAGAAGTAATAAAAGTATTGCGGAGGTCCGATCGATCATGTAAAAAATAGGATAAATCAGTAACTAGTGAATTCGATCGATTAAAAATATATAGTGATCGATCATATTGTTAAAGGTTTGTAGTTTGAATCAGAAGTAGTAGAAGTACTGTGGAGGTCTGATCAATCGTGTAAAAAATAGGATAAATCAGTAAGTAGTAAGTGAATTTGATCAATCAAAAATATATATTGATCGATTATATTGTTGTAGATTTGTAATATCAAAAGTAATAAAAGTGCGGTGGAAGTCTAATCGATCATGTAAAAAATAGGATAGATCTGTAAATGGTAAGTTAATTCGATCGATCAAAACTATATATTGATTGATCATATTGTAGCAGATTTGTAATGTGAATCAGAAGTAAAAAAAATACTAGGAAGATTTGATCGATCGTGTAAATAATATGATAGATTAGTAATTAGTAAGTTAATTTGATCGATCAAAAATATATATTTGATTAATCATATTGTTGTAGATTTGCAATGTAAAGCCGATGTAATAAATACTGGGGAGATCTGATCGATCAATTATATTTAATGATCGATCTTGGTGTTACAGATTTAGAAGTTGAAGGGGAAAGTAGGATTGCGATTGATCGATAAAAAATATGATATATCAGGTTATGACGTATTTACTTAAATGCCCGTAAACAGTAAGTAATTGAAGTGTTGTAAGTGAGGCTTTATCATAAATAAAGATCGTATGATACCCAAATAAATCCCCAAATCCTACAAAATTAGCCCTAAATTATGCCTTATTCAAAACCCATTCAAAATCTCCCAATTCCATAAACCCTAAATCAGCCACAACCCAAATCTCTTTCATGCGATCACGTTCACCAACGCTTCCATTGTGAATCTTCCTATGGAGAAGAGTGAAATTTTCATTGTTTATCTTCGTTGTGAATCTTTCTTGAATAAGAGTGAAATTTCCCTTTGGAGCTTTGTTGATGTCAGGTGGAGAAACAAAGGAACGGAAAAAGGTAGATAGTGGGGGGAGTTATGCAAATGCGAACCTCTTTGTGGATAAACATACTAAGAAGAGATATGATACATTCATTGTTAAACGTCATCTGTTACTTGAGTGTGGTGTTTACCTCGATAAACTAGTAGGTAGTGTGGATTGCCCTAAAATACTTTGGGCTCAGAAATGGGATCATCTGTTTGATGTGAATATGAAAGATAAAACATATGTTGATCTGGTTAAGTTTTTTTATACAAATGTTAATGAGAATGAACTGACATTTAAGTCATTAGTTAGGAAGAAATCCATCACTATTTTGCCTGATCTTATTTCAAATATATTAAAAATTGATAGACCAGACATTCCTGAGAATTCCATTGTATTTCCATATTCAAGTAAGGAGCAGGTTCCCAAAATGACAACGGTTATTCGAGGTATTTGAATTGGGAGTGTCCAATGGGAGAATGAGAAAAGCAAAATTGCTCACATTGACCTTACACCAACGTATAAGATGTTAAACCGCATTGTTGCTTGTAATATACATCTGAGGGGACATACTGCTGAGATTGGATACGATACAACCCAACTGTTATATGCTATTGGTGAACATGGGGTTTATATTGATCTATCCCTTTACATATTCAACCATGTTCGTGAA